GACTTCTGGGGGACAGGGGGATAGTTTTACACAAATATCATAGAAAACATAGCACAACGGGAAACATGCAGCTGTTGCAAGTCTGCTCAATTCTGTGTCTTTTCTTTTCCATCCAGCGCCACTCACACCTTCCCCAGAGAGCAGCCAGGCCAGCTAGTGGCTGATAGAGCAAGACTGTGTAGGAAAGCAAAGCAAAGCAAAGCGCCTCCCTCTCTGCATCCTCTCTCCCCCAAGAGCTGGTGGTGTCGGGTAACATGATTTCCAGGTACAGAATTTAATCAGATTGAGCAGCCTACTCCTCTGAGCTGAGACTGACCCGGCCTTGCCCTGTTCTGTGACTCCTGTTGAGCTGGGATGCAAGATCTTAAGATTGTAGCTTGTCCCTTGTTCCCATGTATTAAACAGTCAACACCCTCTGGGAATAGACTGCACTTTTCATCATTTGGGTAGGAATTCTAGCGCATGGAAATGTCCTAATTTGCTATTGCTGCATCAGCATAATGAGTCAGATTTAGGTCCTATGGGAGAATAACAACACTTAGCACTTATACCAGCACTTTTCATCTTCAGGGTCTTTAACCACGTTGGGCTGGGATGTCAGATCTCTCTCAGGAAGACAAAGGAGTTAATCTCTAGTCCTTTCAACTCCCCTTCCTTTCTTACACATGCACACAGGTACACACACTTGCACAAAGCTGTTATCAGATGGCGAAGCTTTCTCTGGCTTCCTAGATTTGCATTAGTCAATCTTAATAAAAAATAAATCAAATGTAAAAGGTTAATTCACCCTCCTCTTTCTTTCTTTCTTTTTTTTAATAATCTTTCTCCCCCTCTAATATGGAACACAAAATCAGCATCCCAACTGCCAGTTGTTGGACTCCATTCAGCATTACTGAAAGGGGTCCCATACTTGACTTGAATCTTCATGCCTCATGATCTTGTGTCATTGCTGGCCACTGAGGAGAGTTGAATACCCTGTATTGGAAGATTCTGGAGGGCTCTGCCAAGTTCCATGTTCAGACCTTTTCCTTACTTCATTTCCTTATTGGTTCTCTACTTGGAATACTGTTTTCCCCAACACATACCTGGTTTAGGCCTTCTCCTCCTTCTTTCAGGTCTCTACCACATGTCCAATCACCAGCCATGCCCTCCCTCACCACCCTGTGCCCCTTCCCTGTCATATTTTTCTCCTTAGCACTTATCTTCTGACAAGTTATACATTTTCTTGTCTTTACTTGCTTCTTGTTTGTCTTGCCCACTAGGAGTAAGTTACATGAAGGCAAGATTGTTTTATTTTCTTCTTCTTACCAGCTTTAGTCCATAGTATATTCACCAATGCCTTGCACAGTGCCTGGCAAGTGGTGGGCACTTGAAAATTTTTCTTGAATGGATAAATAATGAACAATAATTTCTCATCTGTTTTAGGACATGGACTAGCCTGATTTGTAAGCCAGAGGCAAGTTTAATTTTTTTTTAAATAATCCTCACTCGAGAATATTTTTTCCATTGGTTTTCTTAAAGAAAATGAAAAGGAGGGGGAGAGACAGAAAAAGAAACATTGATGTGAGAGAGACATATTGATTGGTTGCCTCCTACATGCACCCTGACTGGGGCAGGGGATCAAGCCTGCAATGGAGGTGTGTGCCCCTGACCAGAACTGAACCCAAGACCAGTCCACAAGCCAACACTCTAACCACTGAGCCAAATCCGCATGCACCCTGACTGGGGCAGGGGATCAAGCCTGCAATGGAGGTGTGTGCCCCTGACCAGAACTGAACCCAAGACCAGTCCACAAGCCAACACTCTAACCACTGAGCCAAATCCGTTAGGGCCAACTTTAAATTTATGATGCCTGCTAGTGAGGGAAGCTTTTCCAAGGGGCAAAGTCTCTTATTAAAGAGTTTTGAAACTCTGAACTTACACTAACACAGATAATTGAGACAAATGTAAAATGTGTTGCTTGCTATTTATGATATGGATATAGACATTGGGGCTTTTTCTAGTGGCAATGGCCTGCCTCTAGCCTGTCCTCCCTGTATGCACACAGTGGGATACTTTTGGAAAAGTGTTAGGGATAGTCTATAGAACATAATTTTCCCCATTGTACAGCCACATGGGAGAAGCAAAGATCAACTCTATATTTACTCTTTACTAGATCAAACTACAGCTAGAAATTTAAAGGTACAGGGAATGACCACCTCAATCTTTCAACTATTTTGTATAAAGTACTTAGTAAGTTCTAGCAAGACTTTATAAGCAAATTCTCCAGATCAATTCATCCATCTTCCACTTTACCAAAACTTGCTGAGGAAATGAATGCAAGTCTTTTCTTAAAAGACAAGGAGGGGAAAAAATCAGAAGAGAGCTGTGGATATAGAAAGAAAAAGAAATGATTATCTGAATGTGGAGCAAAAGGGAAGGAGAACATAGCGCTCAGTATAATCAGGTATGCATTAAATAAAGAGCTGTATTCCTACCTGTTAAGCAGGGAACAAATAAATGAAGTGGGAGCGGGGGTTGGAAGTATGCCAAGGATGTTGGTAGCTGGAGAAATGTGGCCCAATGGTGGATAAGACTATACTGGCAGATTGGAGAGCATCCCCTCCTCATTTCTCCACCCTGTTGCTTCCAAAGAAATGCTAGAGCAGAAGCCATCAATACAGCCCATTTGGATGAGTCACCGAGTCACCATGCAATGGGCCTTAAGAAGGTGCCCTCTTGTGGAGTCATCGGTACCTGAGGCTGGATTTGGCCCATCTGGTTTGAACAAGGCAAGGGAAGAGGATACCTCAACAGCCTTCCAGGGCGTGCAAGTGACGTGGGGGTATGAGACAGTGACCTGATGAGAGGTCTGCCCCCAAACCATGGGGAAATCTGGCTGTAGGATCCCCACCAGTACATACCCATCAAGAAATCATCACATGGCTAAGATCGATATTTAAAAGAGAAAATACAACTATAATAGTCCTCTTTTTCAACTTTGCTTGCCTAATTATCTTCATTTTTAAAGCTTAATTATTTATACTCTTTTTCAACTCATAAAAGAAATGTATAGCATGAAAATGTTTCTTAAATTAAAAATCTGGACCAGAGGAAATATAAACTGGAATTGAAAGTCTAGTCTTGGAGGAAGTAAAATGCCCTCATGACCATGTTCTACCAAGTTCTCAAAGGTAAGCAGTAAATTTGGCTTATGTTAACCAAGCAGTCAAAGCGAAAAGAGAAACAGAACCGGTTACATGATTCTCAGGTCCATGAGAAAAAAAATATTTCAGTTCCTCAGGGGGAGCAAACTATTTCCTGGAATTCAGATCTGCAAGAATTTCCTCCCACGGGACTTCATATAGGAGATCATGAGTACTATATAATGGAGACCACCTAAAATCACAGCCCTACCATGGGCTTCCTAAAGCTGTCCTTGGTAAATGTCTTTAGGAAAATCAAAGGCATCCACTTCAGTTAAATCCACTCTATCAGAAATGAAGACAGAATGAATCACGTACACACCTTTCATATAGTACAGTATAATCTAAAACTCCAACCTCGACTAGCTTGAGGCATGAATTAACTTAGTCCTTCAGTCTTTTACATATGCCATGCCTATCAGGAGAGCTAAATTTACTACTCAACCAGGGGAAATTTACTCAAGTGTTTGGTTTGGGGCTCTTCTTCTCCCTTGCTATTTTTATAGGTTGTTTTTCTTAAGAAATTTATTTCTAATGGAATGAAATATAGAATATGCACCTTTTATTTTCATTGTGTTAATTTTTTAAGTGCTTAGAACAGTGTCTGGCAAATAAATGCTAAGTAAGTGTTTGCTTAGAAAAAGAAAGAAGGCCCTTTCCTATCACTGAGGTGGTAGGGATAGAGGCATCAAGTATGAATGACAAATTAATCATAAACAAATAAAATGAGTTGACAGAGATTTTATATCCCTCTTACTGTAACCTTCACCTATTCTCCTGATTTTTTTCTAAAGCAGTATGGGCTGAATACAAGCCTTTGACTATTTTGATGTGAGAACATGACATGAAAAACCTGGTGGAGAGGGATTATTAAAATTTCACATAGAGGAGGATTCAAAGGTTTTGAAACACTTAGGAAAACATCAGAGCCTTTTAAAATTTCTTCTCCGGATGGAACAGCTGGAACTTCAGAATCCATTACAACCTAGCTGGTCCTTCCTGCCAACCAACTTTCACATTTTAAGACTGTTCATGGAATGTGTCTAATTTGTTGTTTCGTACATTTTGGGCACTCAATAATGCTCTATAAAAACAATGAAAAAATACTAAAATGCTTCATTATCACACTTACTTATGACTTCATTTCCTTTCCTTAATCTTATAAAGTGATTGGAAAATGCCAGCACAACATTACAATAAAACTGAATATGTTCTGGAGGGATTCATAAAGTGGATTTTCTTAAAAAAAGAAAGGCACTTTCCATACCTCCAGTTAACCTATTTATCTCAATAACAACAGATGTTCCATAATATAACTAGGAAGTAACTGTGAACATGGTAGAGATCTATTGGGCAGATTATAGACATCAAAGTTAAAACCTGGGTCAAAAATTAGAGAAACCTCCTTTAATACTGCTATAATTTTTCACCTGTTGTCTCTGACTCTTGTAAGGCTTGCTATTAAATATTTAGGAAAACAACTAGTTTTGAACAGAAAATGTCTGTGAGTTTATATGACTCAGATTCAAGAATCAGATAGTGTGTTGTTTTTTGTTTGTTGTTGTTTTTTTGCTTGAATTTAGTATTTCAGATATCAGTTTTTTCCGTGATTTTTCTAGCTTCAGGTTCTATCACAATCAGGGATTCATCCTTTTTTAAAACAAAACATTAAACGGACATTTGCAAATGGATAAAATACTGTTTAAGGGCCAGGCCACATTAGCAATCAACCTGCAGTGCCATCCATTTCCACCAAGAGTTTCCACCAGGTGCTGGAGGAGGCACCTCTCGAGGTGTCCATCCCAGCAAACCTACCCGCTTGCTGCTCTCCTCCTCCTGAGCCTTCCTGAACTCATGCTCTAGGGAGCAATCCAGCTCATTGAAGAGTCCCACTTCCTCGCAGTTCTTCAGGAATCTCGTTGGGGTCGGAGTTTGATCTGAAAACAGAGACCGAGTGATCATTCATGGGATCTTTTCCTCAAAAGCCAGTGGAAAGCCTGTATTCAATTCACAACTCCCCTCCCCTCACCTTAATTAAGATGCTGACTGGCCACCTATAATCTCCCAGCCCTTTAAATAAAGTGAGAATATGAAAGAAAATTAAGCCATAAAACCCAAAGGAGGAACATGGTGTGTAGCTGGCTACAGTAGGTAAGGGATTTCCAAGCCTCCCTCCAGACAACTTGGGGAGGTCCCACCCTTGAGTTGCTGGGTCTATATCACTGGAATTACACTGCAATGTGTGGAATGACTTTTTTCTAACTGGAAAAAATATTTAACTAAAATCAGCCAAAAAATCTGCTGAGCCCATGATAAGCCTAATTTCACGGGGCTGGGAGGAAAAAGGATTTTGTAGATTTTTATACCAAACAAAGAGAAATACACAGACATGTGAATTCCTTTTCCGTATAGGAGGACAATTTAGCAATTCTCTCATTTTGAGAGTCATAGAGAATGATGAAAGGTTCCAAGTCAAATACATTCAACTCCTAACCCATTAAAAATATAATAATTAATTTTAGTTTTCTTTGCTACAGCTAAAAGAATGTTCTGAGAATATTCTTTAAAAGGAATAAAATTTCTTTCCTATTTGGACTGTCTAGAGCAGCGGTCGCCAACCTTTCGGACCTCACAAACCACCAGTTGGTGACTGCTGCTACAAAGGTTTCCTTAAACTAGCCATCGCCAACCTTTCGGACCTCATGGACCACTGGTCTAGAGAACTTATTACTTTGAAAACGGGAGGATCTCAAGCCACTATTTGTGACTTAATATTTGCCCATTTTACAAACTATTTACTCACAACATTCTCTATATTCCAGATCTCACAGATCCTGTGAGATAAGTAGGGTGTATATTATTTTAGAAATGGAGAAATTATTTAAGTAACTTGAACAAGCTCACACAAATTGTAACCATCTTATCACTATGAAGTCCTCTTTTACCTAAAAACTTAATCCCTTCTCAATCTGAATCCTGAGCTTTGACCAGACTCTCTCAGCTCCAAAGAACTCTGTTGTATGTGTAAGAGACAACACTGACAACCCAGAAATCTAGATTTGAAAGTGCGTGATCTAGGGGAAATTATCTCAGTTCTCTAAACCTCATAGTCCTCATCTTTTAAATCAAGTTCTAAAGTTACATGATTTTGTGAATCCTAAAATCACCATTGTAATGGGTTCCCTTCAAACAGCACAGTCATTAGGCCAAAGAAACATATGACCATTTAAAGGTCAGCTAAATGGGAATATAACTAACAGCTGGTTAGGCACTAGATATTAGGCCAGATATAAAGGCTAGATATACAGATAAAGGGGCTTTCTGAATAGAAGGTGTAAGTAGATAAGACGTGAAAGTGGAAACAAAACACTGTGTGTGTGTGTGTGTGTGTGTGTGTGTGTGTGTACATGTTCTTCCATTTATTGAGTGTTTATTCCAAGCCAGGCATAGTACTAAGTGTCTTGTATGCACCATTCCATTAATGTTCACACCAATCACACTAAGTAAAAATTATTTTCCCCATTTTACTTATGAGGAAACTAAAACTCACCTCAGGCCAAATTTAGAAATTGGGTTCCATAATCATATCAGTAAATGATAATCCTAACAATCTTCAGTTCTTTTGAAATATCTGGGAATCACTGAATCCCTCATACAATAAAACTGTATTACAATCCCACAGACTCTCTACTAACTTGCAGAAACATTTTTGGTGACTAAAAAACCTGAGAAAATATCACATGTGAAAAATGAAATACTAGACCACTTGCCATCAGTTGGAATTTAGTTTTCCAGGTTTTATGTTCCTTTTATTCCCCTATGATTCTTTGTTGTAGATTTATAAGTAGAGGACTATGATTCCAGGGAGAGAAAACAGTCATCCTGGAGGCTCCAAGTCCTGAACAATGAGATGAGTTCAGGAGATGGCCCATGAAATCGAGTTCAGGCTAGCATCGGGGGCCAATCCCCAAGCAAAGTTGACAGATGTTTTATGTCTCCTCTAAAGCAAAATTATTGCCAAATAGCAGCCCATGCTCACATATATCAGCAAAGGAGGTTGAAGAAGCATGGCACAGGGACAGGAATGCTACTGCCATCATGGGCCTCTCTACAACAATAGAAGCAAAAGCGAGGGAACAAGAAAGGGGAGCCAGGGCTATAAATGGAGTTGGTTCCTCCCATCCCAAGAGCAGAAGACCCAGATGAAGGCCCCAGAGTTGTTGCCAAATGAGACTTTTTTTGCTGTATGATATAGTGAGAGAAAAACAAAACAGATATCTATGTCCACATTTGGAATAGATAAGGCACACTGTTCCTAATTTTTTATTCATTTTCTTCTTGTGAATGAGCCATTCTTTCCAGTTACAACAGAAACCAGACAATGGAGCTTAACTTTTGTTTTAACATTTATTAGAATTAATACAGGGTCTCCAGTTGTCTTTGATCCCACATGGTACCAGTTCCAAGTAAGCCAGGAAATGTGCAAATCTTCAAAAAGGGAACAGCTAAATCTATCAGCAGCTTAAATAAAAGAGGCAGAGGTTCTTAGCCACATGAATGCCTTGTCAAATAACTGTTCCAGCTGAAATTAGACCTGAAGTGGGTAATGTCCATGGCCATAAATTAAAATTCTTGTAAACCACACCCTATTTAAAACTAAGTGCATACACTGGTTAGTTACAGCAGCAGCAATTTCCATATCCTGAATGATAGGGGCCAATGCTTTCTAGTTGGATAATATCTAATGTGTGTCCAGGAGGCCACACTCCAGGGACTTACAGGAACTCCAGTGGGAACTCAGAGCTGAGACGATTGTTTAAGGACTTTTGCTCGCCATTTTTTTAGTGCTTCCACTTCAGTGAGGACCATCTGAATGACAGGGGGGGGGGTAACCCCAAAGGAAACTGACAGTTAAATAACTTTTGAGTCAGAACTTGACCCGCGTTGACAGTGATTTGTTGTTACTGCCTTTGTAAATCTGAACTGCCACTGCATAAGCATCTGCGTGTTACCTTCTCTCAGGTTGCAAATAGCACGCATGTTCTTAGGAGACACCTGGGGCCAGTGCACGTGAGAAATATTACCACTTCTACTCATCTCACCTCCTTGGGGATCTCTTTACCCATCGAACAATGAAGATTTGGCACCAGAGGGATTAAAAAATCCTTTGTAACATTTGCCATATTTCAATACCTAGTTACCTTCCTGGTGAATCTATTTCTTGAAAAAAGGAGCATTTTGTCATAGAATTGCAGCCTCCGTAGATAGCTAGGGAAAGGACACTGGCCATGTGGAGACACTCCTTGTATATCTACCTGGAAGAGTGCCACAAACAGCACTATGATTTAAGAATTCACCCACCAGTTATACAATAGGAAATCCTGTACCACATTGCATCTGGGAAGGAAAACAAGTATATGGCTAGAACTATTAGAAAGAAATAGTAACTCATTAAGTTTTCCCATCAGTCCATAGTCTGCCTAGCATCAAGTGCTTCAGACTCAGTGACCATGATTATTCCAAAGTCTAAATGTCAAGCACAAAGCTAAAGCCTGAAACTTGATTCTTCTTTTTAAAAGTGGTGAGACTGGGAGAGACCAAGATGGCGGCATAGGTAAACACCGGAGACTGCTGCCGCAAACAACCACTTCAAAAATACAACTAAAAGACGGAACGGACATCACCCAGAACCGCAGGAAGGCTGGCTGAGGAGAGACTCTTCAACTAGAAGGAAAAATAACAGCACACCGAGGCTCAGAGGAGGCGCAGTGTGGAAAAAACTCAGGTGCGGAGGTGCGCGCGCAAAGCGGGCTGGTGGCTGAGAGCGCGGTTGTCGTTTTCGGTCAGGGGGGAGTCTCAGACTCTGAGCTCCAGATACGGGCGAATCGCTGGGGACTCGGACCCAAACGGGAGAAGCGGGAGTGTCTGGCATCAGTTGGAAGGCAGCTTTCCCTCCGAGGTTTGCAGCGGTTCCTGGGGTTCTGAGAAGCAGAGCCTCTGGGAACGGGACTGAGAGGGGCCATAACCGCTCCCTCCCCCCGCCCTGTTG